TTTTAATTTCATATCATGTTTCTCAATCATATCTTTAAATTTTTCAGGGTCTAACTCTATGTCTAAATTCAGCTGTCTTTGCCTTTGATACAATACTTGTGATAATAATTTAATTTTTTCATTAAATTCATTTATTTTATTTTTTTTGTAATCATTTAATTGTTTTTGGATTTCTTTTATTTTATTTATTAGGAGATCAAAATTTTCATTTGACAAAGATACCTTATCTTTATGATTATTAATATTTATATCTGACCAATAATCAAAATTTTCTTCGACATTATCAGATGAATTTTTCAGAATATGAGATAATTTAGATTCTGTAGAATCATCATTATCAACAATGTAAATTTCCCCAAAGTCTCCTGACCGTCTTTTTTTATCATTACCTCTATTTGGCATTACAATTGATAAATAATGTAGATGACAAAGTTGATCACCAATCTTAAGGTAATTATAATCTTCATATGTTTTATGTTTTATAGCTTTGCTTTTAGAATCTTCAGTAAAAGTTCTAAATTTATTTGTATTAGGATCATTATTTTTACAGTTTTCAACTTTACATGGACCATAGTTTTGTCTCATTTTAAAACAATTTATTTTTTTTATTTTATTTAATATGTTAAATTTAAGTTTTTATGAAAATCTAATTGAATTTTTCAGTGGTTTTTTATCTCATTTTGAAATATGCATTTAATTAATAGAAATTAATTGATTTTGTAAGTTTAAATTGTTTTGTTTAACAAATATAAATGTGAATTATATTATACGCGTTTATTAAAAATTTTTTTTGGCAATGATATTCAAGCCAATAAGATTCGATTTTTGTGTGATATTTCGAAGGGAGATCATCACAAAAATTAGCCAATGAAATCAAATGTCCACTATGCTTTAAATAACTATTATGGAAAAATTATTGAATTTGTATATAATCTTAAAATTATCTATCAGGATAATATGTTATAATTTGGAGCTATATGACCAGTTAATAAAGCTCTCCTCATATTTTTTTTCCTTTTCTTTAGTTTTATTTTATTTAATGAAAAGATTTCATACAATTTAGCCAATCAAGTTTCTTCCAAAAATTTCCCAAGGTCATGTGATTTTATTATCAAGCATTGAAAGATTAAAATAATTCTATTGGGGGATAATTACATTGATATGAAATTAAGATAAGAACATAGCTAAGATTTAAAAAAAATACATTAAATTCTAAAAAAAATGTGTAAACATTTGTCATCTTTATGCTTTTAAATTTAAACATTTACTATCATTTCAAATGTTGTAGTTGGTTTAACCTTCCTAATAGCCATTTGGTAATATTTCTCAATAACTTTTATATGTTGTTTATAGCACCTCAAAAACGAATCAACAGCTATTTTGGTGTTAAAAAATTCCTCTTTATAAAGATCCGAATCGTAATCATCAAAAATCATAATTCCATCTTCTTTTAACAAATTCCAAGATAAAACAGCATCCAATAAGGCATCGCAAGCAACATGTGAAGCATCAATATAAATAAAATCAAACATTATTCTTTTTCTCGATTTAATTCAATAAGTGCATCCCGAGAGTTACTTTTGATAATTTCCACTTGATTTTCTTTGCCAGTTTTTTTAAGATTGTCCAGAAAATTTTTTTCACTATCAATATCAGGGAGAAGCCTTTCAAAATTATCAATAACCACCAGATGGGATATGGGATTTTTAAATAATTCATACAAAATCCAAGTGCTTGACCTTCCCTCAAATGAACCAATCTCTAAAACATTGATTTTTTGTTTTTCCAAGCCGTGTAAAATTCTTTTCCAGTAAGGAATATGCTGGTCAAACCAATCGCTGCTGAATATGTATTTTTTCCTTTGCTCTTGGTTCAAAGAAGGGGTAGCAGGAGCAAGTTTATTATGATTTTCCTTTGATTCCTGGTGCAATTGATTAAAATTCATTTCAACTTTGGTTTCAACTAGTATAACGAGTGGAAGATTAAATAATAATTTACAATTCTTATTATGACGTTAGTATCATATGATCTGATGTTTATTATACATTCTAGATTATGCATGGAATTCGAATATTAGTTCAAATAATATTATCATACACTAAAAATATAATAATATGTACATACATACACTTCCTGGTCATAAATATAAGGACACTTGCAGATCATCGGAAATAATTGAATAAAGAAACATGAAAAAAAA